AAAAAATCATATATTTCGATAAATTTATTTAAAATAAACCGTTTTATATTTTTACTAAAGTATCATTTCTTTAATACTTATACCATGAATACTTATTATGGCTCAAATCACAATTTGAAAAATATGTCACTTTTATTTACTAATATTAAAAATCTATATGGGTAATATGTGGCGCGATAATATAACTTTGATCTTGCAACCACAAAGATTCAAGTTCAAAGCCAGTGGATTTGTGCAATCTGATATCAAACTAGCTGTAAGTGAAATTCTGTCTTAAGGCAATTAAGGCATCGTGCCTTGAGGCAAATTGCAGGAACTTCCCGTACCAAAAATTATTATTTTAAAAACAATTAACATTTTTGAAAAAAAAATTTAATTAAAAAAAAAAAAAAATGTTTTCTTTATTTTGACATATTTTGGAAGATCTAAACTTTTTTTCCAAGCAATCGTACTGCTTTAACTGCATAAAGACGAAATATCAAAGCGCGTAAGCGCCGCGTCGCCGTCTAACGCGTAAACATTGGTACGAAACCCATAGAAATGTAAAAAAAAATATACTTATTGTTAAAATCTCTATAAAATATCTGATAATTTGATGTGCATATGTCTAATGATCATTTTTGACCGCCAAATGACTTTTTTTTTTACTTTTTTCATTAGATCTCCGAAACCGCTGGACCTGCCTTCATGAAAATTTGATCAATTCTTCATCTTATCAATACAAGTAAAATGTTTTTTGAATTATTCAAATCGGACGCTCCGTTCTCAAGTTATAGTAATCGCAAAAAAATCGAAAATGAAAATTTTTATATATCTTTACGTTACAAAGGATTCTGAATATTTTGGCATACCTTAGAAAAAATAGATGTATGTGTGTGTGTGTGTATGTGTGTGCGGATACAAATTTTCGTCGACGATTTCGGGAACACCGATCAACCGATTTGAATAATTCAACTAGTGGCGCGCATGGCATCTAGCCTTAAGGCAAATTGCTGGAACTTCCCGTACCAAATATTATTATTTTTTTAAAAACGATTAAAATTTTTGAAATAAATTGACTTCGAAAAAATTAGATTTTTGAGAAACTAGGAATTTAACAAAAATGTACTTTTTTTTTAAAAAAAATTTTTTTTTGAAAAAAAAATGGTTTCTTTATTTTGACATATTTTGGAAATTCTGAACTTTTTTTCAAAGCAATCGTACTGCTTTAACTGCATAGAGACAAAATGTCAAAGCGCCTAAGCGCCGCGTCGCCGTCTAACGAATAAACATTGGTACGGAACCCATAGGAATGCAAACAAAATTTCTATTTATTGTTAAAATATCTGATAATTTTATGTGCATATGTCTAATGATCATTTTTGACCGCCAAATGGCACTTTTTTTACTTTTTTTTTAGATCTCCAAAACCGCTAGACCTGCCTTTATGAAAATTTCGCAGGTCTAGCCGTTCCAAAGATACGGGGCAAAAGTGACAAAAACGGTAACTCAGTTTTTAAGAAAAAGGAGCGTCCGATTTTAATAATTCAAAAAAACGTTTTACTTGTATTAACAAGATGAAGAATTGATCAAATTTTCATGCAGGCAGGTTTAGCGGTTTTGGAGATCTAATAAAAAAAGTAAAAAAACAACGCCATTTGGCGGTCAAAGGTCCTATGGGTTCTGTACCAATGTTCATCCGCTAGACGGCGACGCGGCGCTTACGCGCTTCGACGTTTCATCTCTATGCAGTCGAAGCAGTAAGATTGCTTTAAAAAAAAGTTCAAAATTTCCAAAAGATGTCAAAATAAAAAAAACATTATTTTTCAAAAGTCTTTTTTTTCAAAAAAAGTAAGTTTTTGTCAAAAATTTATAGTTTTTCAAAAATCTAATTTTTTCAGAGTAAATTTTTTTCAAAAATGTTAATCTTTTCAAAAAAAAAAATAATTTTTGGTACGGGAAGTTCCAGCAATTTGCCTTAAGGCACAATGCCATGCGCCCCACTAGTTTTTTGCTTTGGTTGCATAATGTAGCTATCTCCTCGCATAATTATACCTCTCGTAAAAACTGCTTTTTGCATAAGCTTTTGCATATATTCGTTGCACGCAAGAATTTAAAAGAGCAAATAATTTTCGAATATTTGTATATTTCTTTCTTTTTTGAACATCAATCAGAATTTGGTATTCTATAATCTGTTGTAATAATTAATTTTTTTGTGATAGTTATTATTTACTAATTGTTATTAGAATGCAACCAAATTAGTGTCGTATTTATTTTTATGATGCATCGCAATAAAGGTAGGACCGGCCCTGATTAATAC